CAGTGGTTCTCAATGACTGTGACCTGTCACGACCCATAGGAACTGTATTGAGGGCCGTGGCATTAGGAAGGTTGAGAACTACTGCTCTAGAGTGACTTTGGTAGCAAGACAGCTGTGTTTCAATAAAATGTTATTTATGAAAACAAGTAGTAGGCCACAGCCATCATTTGTTGTGCCTTAGTATAATAAATAAAATGTAAAAGACATTAATTCAGGTCAGAAGAAACCAAAATTCATTGAGTCAAATTATAGAAAAAGTTAGATTTCTGAGAGTCAGAAGAATCATCTGGAAAAGGTAGTCATAGAAAAAATTTCTTTCATTCTGATCTCACCATATACCTATAACCTTATTTTGTTAACAACAACAAAAATGGGACTGGGATTACATTAGAATCCAGTAATTACAAGATGAAGATGTCATCAGACTAATAATATACTCAAAGTGAAGGGGCTTCATAGCAAGCTTTCTGCAATTTTGACTTTATTTAGATTATAATTATTCCTATTAAAAAGACAAGAAAAGCAAACTTTAGCAAATTAAGTAATCAGTTCAACATGTATACACCAAGTAGTAGAACTTGGTATGCTCTTGTGTTTTCTGAAGGGCCAGATCATTAAATTTTATTTGATGAGTGATGGGATCCTTTAAAGGGTTTTAAGCAGAGAGAACGTATAGTAGGATTAATGTTTAAAAATAAATAGCTATGCATGAAGACTAGACTAGAGGGTTAAATTGGCAGCAGTATAGTCCAGGGTAAAGATGGTGTAGCTTGGACAGAGCAGTCCCTGGAGATATATTTGCAATGTATTTTGCTGTTAGAAATGACAAGACTTGGTGAGAGGATGGCTCCTTGTGTACTTCTGATTGCAGCACACACCCCTATGCTCTTATTCACATCACTCTAGTGATGTAGAGTACAGTGATCTTCTTTTGGTCTGTGAAATATGCTAAGCCTTTATCAACCTCTGGATATTGCACGGGCTATTCTGTCTGGAACGCCTATCACTCTGTTCTATTGGGTCATCCTAAGTCATCCTATATGAGGACTCAGCACAAACATACTCTTCAGAGAATTCTTCCTCGATGCCCCAATATAAGTTTGATTCTATCTTCAGTTTTCTTGTAACAGAACTCAATTATATTTTGTCCCATACATATCAATTTATCCTATCCTTGTTTTTTTTAATTTTTATTTTATTTTATTTATTTATTTATTGCAGTTTTTGGCTAGGGCTGTGTTTGAACTCATCACCTCTGGCATATGGGGCTGGAGCCCTACTCCTTTGAGCCACAGGCACTGCCCTGTTTTTTTTTTTTTTTTTTTTTTTTTTTTTTTAATTGACTAACACATTACATTTCAAGAGGGCAAAAATTATGTTTATTTTGTTCATCACTGTTAACATGGTGCCTAGCATACACAGTTCCTGACACCATGGCCATGTAGTGAATATCTGTTGAGGAAATAAAGATGTGACTTCAAAGCCCTTACACTTAAATATCATGCTAGTGCCTCTCATACTTATTAATTTTTGGAGAGATTTCCTTTTTAAAATCTTTTTGGAATTACCAACGTGACATATCCCAATTGGTAAGTGATGTTCCCATCTCCAACTCACTCTCACTCGACACTATTCCCAAACCCTGGTCCTGACACTGTTCCCAGTAGGAAGAAGGGGCTGATGAAGATGGCTCGAGCAGGTGAATTCTCACTCATTGTTGGTAGGAATACAAAGTAATAGGATTCTTTGGGGAAACAATTTATCAATACATATCGAAAATCTTGAAATAAATGCAAATAAAACTTAAGAAGTACACAAGATGTGAATATACAGTATTTGTGTTACATAAGATGTTTGACAAGGTATAAACTACAATGTTCATAGTATTAGGTAGATACTCCCAGGGAATGAGATGGCAAAATAGAGCTACTTTATATTTTTAAATGAGCAACTATTATTTTTTCATAATAAAAAATCCTATTAAAGACTAGAAAATAAATCCCCATACTCTTGACACAGTATCTCAGCTTCTAGGAATCTACATAAATAAAATCAGAGATGTGATGTAGGGTTTATGTATAATTGTATTTACTAGGCCAGGAGCAGTGGCTCACGTCTATAATCCTAGTACTCTGGGAGGCTTAGGCGGTTGGATGCTCAAACTCAGGAGTTGGAGACCAGCCTGAGCAAGAGCAAAACCCTATCTCTAAAACCTAGCAGGATAATATTCCATGGTGTACATATACCACAATTTATTAATATATTCATGGGTCAATGGGCACATGGACTTCTTCCATGACTTAGCAATTATGAACTGGGCTGCAATAAATATTCTGGTACAAATATCTTTGTTATAATGTGATTTTTGGTCTTCTGGATATATACCTAGTAGAGGAATTGTAGGATTGAATGGCAGGTCTATTTTTAGATCCCTAAGTGTTCTCCAAATATCTTTGCAAAAGGAACATATTATTTACCAACAAATTGTGGCATATGTACACCATGGAATATTATGAAGCCTTAAAAAAGATGGAGACTTTACTTCTTTCATGTGTACATGGATGGAGCTAGAACATATTCTTCTTAGCAAAGTATCTCAAGAATGGAAGAAAAAGTATCCAATGTACTCTGCCCTACTATGAAACTAATTTATAGCTCTTATATGAAAGCTATAAACCAATTATAGCCCAAGAATATGGAGAAAGGGGAGAGGGAGGGGGGAGGATGGGTGGAGGGAGGGTAATTAGAGGCTACACCTACGGTGCATCTTACAAGGGTACATGTGAAATTTACTAAATGTATAATAATATTTTGGTAATCTTTAAAGATATAAAAATGCTCACGTTATAAATGCTACATAAAGCAAAGTATGAAACCACATTTATGTTATCACATCAATTTGTTAGGAAAGAAAAAAATAGAAAGATATACAAATAGATTAAAAACTGTCATAAAATAGACCAAAACATCATTAATGGCCATTATTGGATAATGGGACTCTGTAAGTTTAGATTAGTTCTTTATTATTTCCTAATGAAAAATAATCATATAATTATTTATTATTCAGAGAAGAATGTTGGTATAAAACTAGTACATTGGTCCCTTTTCCTAACAAGTAATTCTGTTTCTATCCATTCCTCAGGTCAAGAACTCACAGAAGACATACCACATACTTAATTGCCAAGATGGTAGGTTCCAGTCCCTACTAATCCCCCACCAATCTTATTTTATGAAAAAGTAACATGTATTTAATATTCTCAGAAATGTCACATTTTCTTTGACTTGTGTGTCATAACAATGGTAATGTCTTAAGGAATAAAGTTACTTTCAATTAAATATATTTCAGGAATAATTATGTTCGTAGTTAGGATTATACCTTTTATTTGCCCCTTCTTCAGTGTCCTCAAGTCAGAATTTGTTGAACTAGGAGAGAATACACTTATCATGTTTTTGCATAGGTTTATATATACTCTTAATATAAAACCAGCTCTTTTAGAGTACATAAAACAAATTACTTTTAGAAAACTTCATCTTTTTTTAAAGAAAACCTTAATTTCTAACCATCATATTTAACTTAGATACCTACACTAAGAATTCATTTTGGGCCAGGTGCGGTGGCTCACACCTGTAATCCTAGCACTCTGGGAGGCTGAGCAGGGTGGATTGCTTGAGCTCAGGAATTCAAGACCAGCCTGAGCAAGAGTGAGATCCCATCTCTATTAAAAATAGAAAAAACTAGCCAGGCATGGTGGTGTATGCCAGTAGTCCCAGCTACTTGGAAGACTGAGACAAGAGGATGGCTCAAGCCCAAGAGTTTGAGGTTGCTGTGAGCTATGATACCACAAAACTCTAGCCAGGGCAACAGAGTGAGACTCTGTCTTTAAAAAAAAAAAATTCATTTTGTCCATTAAACCAAAGAAAACTTCTACTTATCTACATGTTCACTGTCAAGAAGTGCCAAATTCAACTTGCGATGATATATACTTATATGTTCATAACGAAAAGTCTGAAGAATGTTGACCAAATGTTTACAGTACTTCCGGAACCTCAGATAGTTACCTCGGGAACTGGCAAAACAGAGCATGAAAAAGTAAGAGAGATCCTACAAGCTACATAAAGAAACAAATCCCATTATATTACAAACATGCCTTCCAGATAGCTTACCAATAGAAGTTTGAATCTAAAAACTTTTAAATCAAATTATGGACAACAAATATAATATTTGCTTTCTGAAATAATCTAAACTTTCAATTCTCTTAGGCAACAACACACAAATACAGCCTACCAATAGAAGTTTGAATCTAAAAACTTTTAAATCAATCAATTATGGACAACAAATATAGTATTTGCTTTCTGAAATAATCTAAACTTTCAATTCCCTTAAGCAACAACACACAAATACACATATGGACAAAAGTGGGCATAAATTCCACACACTGAACATTGATTCCACAAATGAACATTTAACACTGATATCACCCAGATACCTCAGATGAGAAACGTGCTTCAATTTCAAAGGCTTTGCTTAACGAGATTTCTGAAATAAAATTCCTTCATATGAAGACAGTGATGTGAGAATCAACTGATTCATAATCCCTCTCTTATCCCTCTTCCTCTCTCTCTGGAAACAATGTAGATATTTTATTCATAAAAAATTCAATTTTTTAATAGGCAACCATATTCACATTTACTTTTATTCATAGCATAAAATATACTATGAAACACATAAAATAAAAAACTTCTGTACACTTTAGTCCAACTAACCCTAAAATACCAAATTTTATTGGCTGAAATCAATTAAGATATTTACAGAAAGTGTAAAAGTTACCAATTTGAATAAAGATGCTCATTTAGAACTGATTACAATTATTTTTATTCATGATCTGAATCGGTCTCCTACACTATGAAAAGAATCACTATTAATGCAAAGTATAAAGAAAAACACATAAAAACATTAATAAATCATTAGACTTAGAGAAAAAATTAACAGAGAAGCTCACCCTAGAATTAACTGATATATTGTTACTATTAACTTTAAATTTCTTTCCTATATTATTTCGCAGGCAAAATATGCTCATCATATTCAAGGAAAAATGTCATAACATAATTGATTGCATGTGGCTATTTTCTTAATTTTATTAACGTAAATACCAAAGCTGTGTATTCTGCTAGATACACGTTACACTTTGTATCTATGGATCCTCCTTGATATATAAAGTTGTCATCAAGCATGTAAAAAATAAGCAGGTCAGGTAATAAAGCAACAGTATGACAGTAAAAACAGTATGCTTTTCACTTTTGTTCCCTGTAAAGCAAAAGTTTTCTTAACAATTGCTGTTGGCTCACAGAACTGGAGAAAGTGTATTAGAACCTCAGTACTGCTAACAGTGATCTCCCCTGGCTGTTATTTGTCTAAGACATGATAAGCCATATAATTTACAGAAAGAAAAGCCTCTGAATCCTTCAGAAAACACAACCTGGCAATCTATCTCCAATGCAAAATAATGAGGTGGCAGGAGTGTGATGGAAAAACCAGTCTTCAAAATCATCATGTAAGGGAATCCAGCTGTGCTTGTATGGTCTCTAGCTATTTACAAAGACAAAAACAGAAAAAAAGGCAGAAAGTTAGTGAAGGGAACAAGATTCGCAGGAAGTGTTGTTTAGAAACATGCAAATGAAAGGGAAGAATGGCGCTGGTGACCATGCACATTAAATCCATTCAAATAGCAATAAAAATACCACGTAGAATATTTTCCTTTGTATGTGAAAATATTAGAATTCATGCTTACAATTTAAGTTTTCAAATTTGTAAATAAAGAGGATTACTTAATACTGCCGTTTTAAATACCCCAGCTGTTTCATTTTAAATTATCACTACATGATAAGATTTTAAAGCTAGGGTGGGGAGGACAGTACATTTTCCAGGATTATAAAATCAGTATTTAGAAAGAAATATGAAATGTACTCAAAGATAAATCTTCTAAAGACAGTTTCCCTTCATGTTTGCACCTAGAAATTAAAGTACTTAACATTATTCATATTTAAAGTGTGTCTAGATATCTTATCATTTATTACTTAAAGCTTTACATTAAAGCAACACTCCTACTGCTTTAATTAAAATCCTTCCCATTTTCTCCCTGATTTAGTTTTCAGAGTCCCTTCACTTTGGCTCTGCTTCCTACTGTGGAACACAAGGTGCTGAGAAGGGAAGTCTAAAGAACTTAGCTCCATAACAGGACATTTGAAAATAAGAATTCATAAAATGAAGGGAACAATATGAAAACCCCACGGGTCAGCAAATTATTTTAAAAATTAGACCTTGTTGTAGAAATCAAATAACTCCTTGTGACTGAATTCCACAAGAACTTTCTCCAGGTTCTGTAAAGAAAAAAACAAAAGAGAATTTTGTTGCATGCAATTTACATTTTTTTCTTTCCAGTAAGCTTCAGAATATGCCATAATACATATTATTTCCTGAATGATTAAAAAAAAAAATACTCCCCTGCTATACTCAACCCCACAATCTCTAGAACTCACAAATGCACTTAATAACACTCTACTTTAGCAAAAGGTTTCAACCCTACAGGGACATCTGTTCTTTAAGTTGACTCTACAAAGGTTAATAAAATATATGCCAGCAAGAGAACAATTTCATTATCTATTTTTTTCAAGATAGAGAGATAACACATGAGATTATATTTCATCTTTCTCAGCAGTCCATTTGAAATCAAGTAAATACCATTACACAGAGACACTGGAGGCCGCATATCTGATTGAACTCACCCAGCCATTAATGCCTCACATCAGCATAGCTACTGCCTCCCAGCACTAATCTAGCAGTTAGGATCTTAACATGCTGAGATTGTTACCTTCTTTAATGTACAGACTCAGCAAAAGTTCACAAGTAACACAACAGAATTAAAGCTGGGACTTAAAATACTCCCTTCCTTTCATTTCGCATGCATTAAAGAAACCTTCATGTGCTATAGATGCTAAATAATAGAATATATGTATGTCTGATGGTTTAGTAAAGTGTGACATTAAACTAAACCTAGCCCAACTCAACCCTACCTGCTTTAGGTTGATTCTGTGTACTGAGGAAACAATTCAAACTAGTCACTAAAGATTGTTCACCCGTGTTGATTTTATTCAAGGTCCCTTTGGAGAAGTGAAAGCTCCTGAGGACAGAATACCAATAATGTGCTACCTGCTCTGATCCCACTGCTGAGCTCACATGACATAAATTGGACACCATGAACTAGATTAGTGGGAGACTGCTGCAAACAGCCATTGATTTAATGTACTTAACTGCCACAGTCATTTCCAACATACTATTAATTCTAGTTCTCAGATTCTACGTTCACTTTGTTTTATGTGTTTTAATGATTTCCATTTCCCTTAACAAGCCAACTATTTTTTAAAATCTGAGAATATTTTGGGGGTACAAATGTTTTGGTTACATGGATTGTTTTTGTACTGCTTGAGTCAAAGTTAGAAGTGTGCCCATCACCCAGACAGTGTACACTGTACCCACTGGTATTATTTCACCCATCCTCTCCCACCTATTTGAGTTCTGTTGGTTTAACTTCCATCTCTGCACATGTGCGCTGATCAGTTAGTTCATTTAATAGTGAGTTCATGTGGTGTTTGTTTGTTTTTCCATTTTTGTATTACTTCACTTAGGAGAATGGTCTCCAGTTCTATCTGGATTGCTGTAAAAGGTTCATTTTTTTATGGCTGATTAGTATGCCATGGTATACCTATACCACATTTTACTAATCCACTCATGAACTAATGGACACATCAAAGCCAACATTTTCACCCTAAGTTCTGGGATAGTCAATGGGATTATGTTCAGAAACAGCATCTCCCTCTTCACAAAGCAGAGCACACAGGATCAAATCTCACACTTCTTCATTTACTCTCATATACGTAAGTACTTCAGCTTTAAAATGAATGAAAAAGCATATCTGCTTTAAAGCTTCTTCCTTTAGGAACTGTCACAGGAAAATTATCTCAGTGTTGGGAATCACTTGATGTTCAAGTGGGTCCTTGGCTTCATGCAAAAAAGAATTCATGAGCAAGCTAAAATTCCTAGGTAAGTTTTATTTAGGAAGTACTAAACACAGTTTTATTTAGGAGATCTACTCCACAGAGTAGGAGTTCTCTCTGTGAAGGAGACCAGAATTCTGGCAAAAGAAGCTAGATGGGTGGAATGGAGATTAGAAACACTAGAGCAGAAGCTCTGCAGAAGAAGGGAAGGACCCCAAGTACAGTTTCAGATACGATTAGCGGAGTAGGGCTGTCAAGTCTCCCTGAAAACATATCAAACAAGTCTGGGAAGCCAGAAAAGAGATTTAGGTAAGAGGTAATAAATATTATCAGTGACTCTCAAAAGTATAAACGCATGACACTAAAAACAAGTTTTCTTCGCCTAGGAAAAGAATGTGGTCCGAGAAGACAGGTAGCCCACAGCTAGGTCCTGAGGAACTCCAATATGGATGGTAGCAGGTGCTCAATCAATGCTGCCTATCACCTGTTTCACAAATGTTCTCTATACAGTATTCTGAAACGTACAGTGGACATTACACGAACAAAATAAATCAGTTGGTTAGTATAGAGGCAGTAAAACTGGGTGGCTTATTTTTAAATGTGCCTTCAATCTTCCATCTTCCTATAAATCACTGAAATCACTAATATTGTTTACTGAATAACACAGACTGGAAGATTTACCCTCTTTCTTCTCCCTTATGTATATGAGATTACAATCAGGGACTCACTTAGGAAATTCATTACATCTATTTTCTAGGCTTATCTCATGCATTAATACCAAACTCACACTGGAAAATGAAAGTACAAAGATTAATATTCTGCCAATTTCTTAGAAGAAAGATGTATTTGTTCTTTATTTTTAACTTGTAATCCCATCTATAAGCACCTGGATGATGTTGCACATACCAGGAGAAAACTTCTCATGGAAACAGAGCTTAGTAAGGGCTTCAGAAAGGTCTGACTTGATGAAAGCTGATATGAAAAATATCCTCTGCATCCCCACTAGTTAGGAATTAGGAACACATATACATTTTTCAAGAAAGAAATGCATTAACTTCTTTACAAATTATTCAAGCAGAAATAGCCTCTAAATAATACAGATATAAACTAGATAAGAATTAAAACCAAACTGGTATTGCTTAGCTTTTAAATTTAAATTGGGTATCAGAATTACAAAATATAATGATTCTTTCACCTAGAAAATCAGAAGGTAGAACATTCTAGTAAAAGAAATACTGCTAATCTCTTGTACAAGTTAAATCTAAAAATACTTGTAAGGAACTTAAAGAGGAAGTTTTCTTTTTAGTTACAGAAATGAAAGGCTGAGACAAAATTTAAATATTTCAAGTCCTACTGAAGGAGCTTATAAAACAAAAATCATTAGGTACCATTTACTAAATAAATATATCTATCTATAGATAATATTCTCTATAACTATATACAATTATAAATATATTCTATGGCTCTATTATTTGTTGACTATCTTTACTATTATTGCTTCAAAAACTACAGATACAATGTCAGCTCCCACCACAGACTGAAAAAATAATGTCTACCCACATGTGCAACTATTAATTATTTCTGTCATCCATAACATTCAGTCATCCAATGAGCACATGGAGAATACCAGGTACTATGCAAGGAAGGTGCTCATGATACAACGATGAATAAGCCACAGGAAGGAATATACTCTTGACCAAAGAAAGGTCCTTGTCTATGTGAGCAGGTTTCCCTCTACAGTGGAGCTCCCAAATATGGGAGGAATGGACATGGGATGATGAAGGAAGGAGAGATCCTCTTCCCATTCTTGGATCAATGGAATGAATCTGGGCAACCAAAGGGTAACAGATGACAAGCAGCCCTGATTCAAAGGGTGCCAGCTTGAGAGGGTGCAAGCAAAGCATCATAAGCAGAGGGAATGAACAAATTTCTTCCTCTTTTCTTCAAGCCAACTTGACTACAATGATCTCCCAAGATTTTCAATTCTATGATTCAAGGATACTAAAAAGTACACCTATATTTGCAAATTAAACTAGTGAACTGAGGTAGTTACAAAATGTCAGTAAGAACAAACCTGAGAAAAAACATGGCTCAATCCTTTTATTTAATTAGAAGGACACTGGTGTCCCCAAAGATTAAATAACTTATATAGGATACAGAGATGGGATGAGTCATTTTTCTTTTAACTGCATTACTCTAGTAACTCAAGAGTGTTACAGCACTTTCACCTGCATGTCAAGATCATACACAGAATCCCTCAACATAAGTTTTAATAATTACTTCTATTCAATAACCCATTCTACACAGAAGTATTTAAAAGCCATGCTGAGGGTAAATATTTTGATAAATACAGCTGATGAGGTGTCACGCTGTCTTAAGCAGTAAATGTAAGGCAAGGCTAAAATCTTCAATTTCTCAAATATGTTTTGAAAAAAATATAATTAAATCTCTCTGCCTTGGCCACGCTAATCAAATCAAAAGCAACAACAACAACAAAAACTAGCCACTATGAAAAATTCAAAAATTTCATTAAAATTCTTATTCCAGACAACTAGAAAAAATATTAGCTGCGTGAATATACAACATAGAAACAGGGTATGAAAAATGATCATGGTCATCAGAATATCAGCTGATTTCTATTGCTGCCTTAGGCCCTCTGATTCCAAAGGCTCTTCATTAAAATATCACCCAGTCCAGCAGGTTCTAATCTAAAACCAGACAGGCATGGCCCTGCTCATCGACAGGAGTGGGCAAACTGAAAATCCTGAGCTTACATCAAAGTCTGGTAAGTTACAGGACAACTGAAACAAATACACGGAATAGAAGCCACAAGGGGCATTGTCCCAAGGTTAAATCAACCAAATTATAGACTTTTGAAAAACATTTGAAAAGAACAGTTTGACAAAATGCTTATCTATTTAAGACTATATGCAGCATATAAACAGCAAAAGCAAATTCCAAGATTATTATCATGGATTCGAGACTTCCAAAGTCTGGCTCGTGACTCTGCTGTGGACTTCCCGTCTAGTGCCCTCTCACGGTGCTGCCCGGCAGTTCCGAGGTGTCCTGCTAGTGCCCTCGGGGTCTTTGTTCTCGCTGTCTCCCGTGTCCTCCCAGCAGTGCTCCCAACTGCACGCACAGATGCTCTTGTACACACATAACACGCATATCTACCAGCCATTGATTTCATTTGGCTAGATCCTTTAGTCCACAGTTAATCTGACATCCTATCATTTTTCCCTCAAGAAAAAAACATAGTATATGGAGAACATCAAATAAGTGGATATTGTCTAAATTCTGAGAGTGTTTTCCCATTATACTGTAAT